GAAGCCCGAGGACAATGGTACTGGTACTCAGGATCAAAGGCAACAGGTTGGAAAGCAGGAGGAAAGGACAAGCAAGGAAAAGAGAAGTGCAAGGCACAGGCAAAGCAGCGCACCGAGTGGCTTAAGGAACAGCTAGACGAGCAGAAGGAAGTTGCCCAAGACAGCGAAGAAAAAGCAGGAAGCAAAGAAGTGAACTTCCAGTGAAGCAAAGGAACAACGAGCATTACTGAGGCCAGAGAGCCGAGGAAAGAGCAGTGAAGCAGGACACAGGAACCGTGGCACAGCCCTTTTTGTTTCTGTGGTGATCTAAGTAAGTTCAGGAACAGTCTTGTACAGTCAAGCAACCTTGGAGAGGATTGCGAGTGAACGGAAACGTTTGCGCAGAGGAACAACAGTTGTTTTCGAGTAGAAAAGAAAGTCGTGCAGGTACTGTCTTGTAAAGGAACGAAGTGTCGAAGCCAGTTTGGTAAGAAGCTTACCGGCACTAACTTCGAAGGCGGGGTGTTAAACATTCCACCTGTGACAGTACACCTGCAGGAACTACAGTGCTAATGCATAGGAACAGCCGTCACGCACACGCGACGTGCAGGCTCGAGACTACCAGGACACACTCCGCAGTCCAGGAAAAGTGTCCGCCTTTGTGAGAGTGTAGGAAAGCTTAGTGAAGCCCGTTCTTTAACATTCTGTCTTCCCCGTTTCTAGGGCCACGTGCTGTTTCCAGGCATCAACTCAACAACGGGCCGCAGACTCAGGCAGAATGTTGTGTGACGGCAACAAGTGCCAGAAGGAGCGCCAACTTTGCAGAAAGTGCTGCTGTGGGCCCGGCACACCCCGGTCGACTCCAGCAGCAAAACCTCCAGTCTTTGAGCGTGAGGCAGTGCAATTGCAATGCCAGGACCATTTTCTCCACAAGCTCTCAGCAATAGGCTGCACACCCGGGCCACCTTTTGTGAAAATGCCTGCAGGAGCGCCAAACATGTGCACAAAATTTCCAGACAGTGTCTTGCTTTCGGCGATGGGCCTCTTACCCGAACCTTTTGCAACGACGGTGGTGCAAGTCGGCCGAAAGGCCAGAGTAAATCCCCTGATGTTGCAGGCCAGGTGCTTTGCCCGCATGCTTTCGACAACGGGCTGCAAACTCAGGCTGGCTGTTGCACAGGTGCCTGTAGGAGCGCCAATAGAGTGTGCAGCACTTCCAGACAGTGTTACGATTCCAGCGAAGGGCCGCTTGCACGAACCTTTAGCAACGACGGAGGTACCAGCCGGCTGAAAGGCCCAAGTAAATCCCCGGAGTTTGCCAGAGGCAAGGTGCAGTGCGCGCGTGTTTTCGACAACAGGCTGCAGACTCAGGCTGCCTATCGTACTGGTGCCTGTAGGAGCGCCAACAGTGTGTGTTGCTGTGCTTTCAGTGCTGGGCTCGCCACACGAGCCTTGAGCAACGACGGTGGTGCAAGCTGGCCGCAAGGCCCAAGTAAATCCCCTGAGGTTGCCAGAGGTAAGGAGCTGTGCCCGCTTTTTCCTGGGGCCCCTGACTGCGTCGCAAGATGCCTTGGCTTGTCCGCCAAGCACCAAGGCACATAATAGGCGCAAGAAGGCCAGGCTCAAAAGAGCCGCGGCCAAGTTGGCTCGGGCGGCTGGCTCGCAAGGCAAAGGCAGTGAACCCGGTGCCCGCAGCACAGGAGCGCCGACACAGGCTGATCAGCCCGTCATCCGCACAGTGCGCGTCACCCGCAATACAAAATTGTGAAGAACATTCAGCTGCATGTTTCGCACACGGCATAGTGTATAGTCACGCGCCTGAGCTTGGAAACAGGAATCAAGGTGGAGTTGAAGCGAACTTGCAGACCGATCAAGGAATCGCCACGATCACTAGGATAGCTAGTGAGTCGCATGACGATCACCGTCGCATTGCACTTTTGTGTCCGGAGGCCAGTTGGCGAAGATGTCACCGTCAAGTCATCTCACGATACTTGTGGTCAGAACATTCCAAGCTGGTGGAACACATTCGAGCCAACGGCATGCTGAAAACTCATCCGTATCACCATGTGATCATTGAAACAGATGAGCAGGAGGATGCATCAAACGTCGCCGTAGCCGACGCGCAGTCGCATGCCGCCCATGTGCCGCCATTGGATGAGCCCACGGATAGCCGTGGAGCGGAGTCACAGGCCTTTACTCTCACTCCTGACGGAGAAGAGGTCTTCGGCAGCCATGTCGATGTTTGTCTTTTGGCTTCGCTCGTTGATTATCACAAGGCACACATAGACGTGCAGATGGGACTTGATGCTGCCATGAAAACGGAATGGCAGAAATACAGGGAATTCAATGCGGTTGTCCCTTGCACAGACAGGGAGTTTAAAGACCTTGTTAAGGCAGGGCATGTCTGCATATGTGGGTACTGACTGACAAAAATGAACATTTGAAAGCCACGCCTGAGTACACGCCCAAATGGAAAGCTCGTTTGGTGGCTCGCGGTAACTTTGAACACATTGGAAACGAGGAAGATATCAGGGCTGAAAGCCCAACCGCAGAGCCAGCAGGAATTGCAATCATATGTTCATGGGCCGTGTCACTTGGCCTGCGGCTCAAAGCAGCTGACATAACGAACGCCTATATCCAAGGGAAACCCCTTGCGAGACTCCTCATACTCCGCGTACCGAAACACCCCAAGCGTGTGCCCGATCCGGAGATACAGCGTGCCGGGCCGGGTATATATGATTGCCCGTGTTCCAGTCTACGGTACCACCGACGCAGGACGGAACCTTTACCTCCGCGTAAAGGAGAGTTGCAAGGAGTTCGGCCTTATAGGGCCTCACAAATCCTATCCGCCCTGTATTTTATTACAGGAGAGAACGATCGCCTATGCGCAGCCATTTGTACTCATGTGGACGACTTCCTATGGGCTGCGACCACTGAGGGGGAACCTGTGATTCAGGACTTGTTGGATAGATTCAAAATCGGTCGTATTGAGACCGATAAGTTTCGCTTTTGCGGACGCGAATATGTCCAAGAGATCGACGGGATGATACGCATAAGCTGCAGAGACAACACCCGTGCGATCCGCCCGATTGAAATCCATAAATCGGAGAAGGGGACTGCCCCAGTCTCAGCAAGCCACCGCACAGCGCTGAGGTCCGTCATCGGCTCTCTTGCCTGGGTCGCGCGAGCGACGAGGCCTGATCTCGCGTATCGCGTAAATGCCTTGCAACAAGGAGTCACGACAGCCACAGTGGAAACGCTTCGTGATGCGAACCGCGTGGTTGCACTTGCGTTGGGTGATGCCGACCGCCCCATAACGTACAGCGCAAAGCTTCCCTGGAATTCAGGAGAAATCGCAGTTGTCACCTTGTGTGATGCTTCTTTTGCAGGAGAAGCCGGTCACAAGTCACAGCGTGGACGATTTCATTACCTGACCTCCGCAAAGTCGGCAGTTGACAAAAACACGCCAAGTCACGAAATGCATTTGATATCCTTCTCATATCTTCTCATCGTCAACCATGAAGCGCGTGTGCCGAGCTACGCTGCAGTGCGAAGCCTACTCGCTCCAACATGCCATAGAGCATGGTGACCGCATACGAGCGGCTGTCCTAGAAGTGCTTGGCAAGCTCCCCATGTCACAGAACTGGGAGGTCGCGAAACGTTCCATGTTTCACTTCCAATATATACCGATTGCAGATCGTTATCGGACCACCTCACAGCCCAGGTGCCGAAACAGTGTGAGGATAAGAGACTCGCAATCGAAATGACGGGTATGCGACAAGGACTCTGGGAGGACGACGTTCCCACGCACACCCTGCATCACCCATACGGTGATGAACTCCGTTGGATCCCCACGCATCTGCAACTGGCTGACTGCCTAACCAACAGCATGAAGCCGCTATTGATCAATCAAAGTATTGATCTCAACAAGGTGCAAGTGCTTGATGTGCCTGCCCCAGCCGCGCGGAGCTCACCCGGCACCGGCACGGAAGACACCAGCGAAAACACTCCGCTTGAAACCTGAGACCGTAACCTTGAGTCTTGAGCTGCCTTGCTCGACTCGGTTGCCAGAGCAAAGCTCCCAGTAAAACCCGGTGAAGTAGAGCTGACCCAAAGAGGTTAAATTCGCATGTTTCGGACGTCACACTGTAGATAAAACGGTCTGTCATTATCATCCGTGGTGACGATCCTCACTTGTTTTTGCTGAATGTAGTACTTGAATTGGCTAACATGTGTGACGCCACATGCTTCAGTCTTTTCACATGACAGTACTCGCCGCAGACGTCTTGAGCGCAAGATCAAAACTCGGCTATTTGAACGAGGGTGTGCACTCAGCTACCTGTCTCCAGTTGCTAACCCCCTGTCCCTCCGTCCCCCTCTCGCGCTCGCGCCCTCTCTCGCTCTCTCCCTCTCTCCCTCCCTCCCCCGCTCTCGCTCTCGCTCTCGCTCGCTCTCTGGTATGCTGTCCGTGTCTGTCTGTGCGCCCGTGTGTGTTCGCAATTTTTCGTGAGGAGTTTGGCATGTATGATGAAAGAGTGTATGTATATAATATAGATAGAATATGATGTATGAACTGCATAATTATATCTGTCAATGTAGTGCATGCACATCCAGGTCGGGAGTTGAGGGCGGACGGGCAACAAGACTTGCTGGAAGCGTTGTCCGCGCGATACTGCACGCATCAGGCACACCGTTTGGACCTGGTCACGGAGCAGGCAGCAAGACTAGAGCCTTTGCCTGGTTCTTACCGGATGCTATGGCGTGCATGGCCCGGGTTCGGCCGTAATGACCATGAGAACTCTTTAGTCTTGATGCCGAGGTTGGGATGTGGCTGCACTCGTGGCCTTCGCGGGCTCAGTGGTCCTCTGATGGCTGCGCTTTAGAAGGCCTCAGCATCTGCAGCTGTGTGCAGACCTGTGTCGTGAGCAGACCTGCGTGGCATCTAATGGAGAGGCAGCCATGCGTCCAATGCATCAGAGAGACTCTTTGCTGTCAAACCCCTCGGGAGATGTCGTGTCGAGGCTGGAAGATGTTCAGAACACCGACATGTACCTCTACGTAAATGGCCGCTTCATCGAGCCGTCTCCGATACACGAGTCCATCGTGCGACTCTTCACGGCCGCAAATCTCCAGGCACAAGAAGGCTCGGGGTTTAGACACATTCGGTGCGTGTGTTTTGACGAAGCAGAACGTCAGCTGGGTTGTCAACATTTTCTTTCGGAGACCGTTAGCCCAGCATAGCAGAAGCCTGGGTGATTGAATCCGCTGCAACGGCGGTGAAGCTGGTAATCGTAGCTGTGGTTTGAAAGAGCCCACTGGCCAGGGCGACTCGATCAGCATCGTCGCAGCAGGAGGAGACGTCGGCTGCAACTTTGTTAGCGGCTAGCGCTGTTCGGGCACAAAGGCGCCAGACTAAGAACATGATGCGTTGACGGCGTTCAACCGGGCTCCAGTGGCAGGACCCTGCTACATCTACTTGGCGAGATGGCACCCTCACCATAAGAAGGCAGAAGAGAGAGCCTCGAGAGAGTGCTGCGAGCGTTATGTGAGACGAATAGTCGAAGCGACTTGAAGCATAGAAAGAGCAGCTGCATTTGTGTCTTCATGTACGGAGGAGTGCACAGATGTCTCTTTTTTTGACAACTGCTACTGGCCATGAAGCTGCGACGCTTCTCAGTCTCAGATCCACAACTACGCCGTTCCGCAGGAGTTTGGGAACTATTCGTCCTGAACTTTCAGTGCCTTTTGGACTGCACCGAAGCCTTTGCTTTGCGTTTGCCATGCATTGCGCCACCTCGCCTTGCCATGAGGCCCGAAAGACTGGTTCGATGTCGCGGTGGGTGGGTCCCTCCTCCAGTCCCGGGCCCAAGGGAGAGTGCCGCTCTCCACAGGTTCAGCAACTGGAGGCAGCCGATCCGCTTCATTCAGATGTTCCTCCGTAAGGTCTGGCTTGGGCGGCTCTGCCGTTGTTTCAGAGTGCTATGGCGTGCACCGGTGGGTTGGATCTGTCGTGCAAAGGGCACCAGCGAGCCCCCAAAAGCATCGGAAAGCACCTGGAAGAGGTTCGCCGGCGATGTTGCTCATGACCACCTGCTTCTGAGGTCACCTTCGAATGCCTGCTTGTGCACAGGACAAGGTGCTCCGATGCGGCTAACATCGTGCCGCTGCTCTCCCCGAGGCTTCGCCGTAAACGGGTGCTGGGTTGAAACAAGGGCTCATTCTTTTTGCGTGCGGCTGCCAGGATAGCAGTTGCACGTGGGCCGGCTGCGCCGTGCCAGACGATGTCACCTGAGGGCACGGCTCGCCCCAAATTAAGGAACTAATCCCTCCGATCGCTGGGATCGAAGCTTTTGAGAAGGAAATTCGGATCTTTGCTGGCAACAACCACTCGACCCTGCCCCGGCCATTCCCCGCCCTGCGAAGGAGGCAGAGTAGTGACCAGCATCGTTAAGAAAAGGACAGGCATGTGAATGCATTCGGGGAGCGCTGCAGTTGCACATCCACACAGTAAGGCCACACACCCAGTGCTTTCGCGAAGGGATGAAGCTGCAGAATGACTTCTTGCTAGCTGTTGGAGCTTTAGGCTCACAGTGTGGACAGGACCAACAGCATTGACAACGCTCACGTAATTATGGGGCACTGTCAGAGCGTGTCTCGCATGAAGCAGAAGCGATGTGCTACTCACTGGAAAGTCGCACCGATAATGGTGCCCTGCTTCGCGCTGCCCCTTGCCATGCCCAAAGAGGCCCTGGCAGAAGCGGCCGCTCCGTCTGAGACACCATGCCGGCTGCACTGGTCTGCTGCTGCTCTGCTGCTCGCTGCAGGAGCTTTGAGCTTTCTTGAGCTTTGGGGTGTGCCCCTGTGATGACGCCGATTTGTTTATGCATGCGTTGGGTAGTACCATGATTGTATTTTGGGGACACTGGGGTTGCCCTAGACCCTGTAAACCACTAAACCTCAAGCCCTGAAAGCCTGAATGCATTTCCTTTCGCATTGCGCGGTCAGGTCGTCCTCCAGTTCTGTCGGGGGAGCATGGTTTGAATCAGCCCGCCCTAGATTTCGTAGTAAAGTAGGTTGCCTTGAGCTTTTTTCGTGGTACTGCAAGGGGTTCTATAACGGTCCTGGAAGTTTATGAGTTTACGGCGAGTCCTTAGTAACTTTAGTAGTAGAGTAGGTAGCCTTTAGATTTTTCGGTGTACTTTAGCCGCTATATATGACATTTTCAACAGTTTAACCCAGGGTCCATGTACCCAAATAGTATACACTTTGGCCCCCGAGTTCCGGGCTTACTTTTTTACGCCCTTTGATGCGTGGTTTACCGCTTCACTGTAGGCCACAGACATGATTAAGCCCAGGCATCGGGTCTTTTTTGGTCACGGGGTTGATGGATTTGCGGTAAATTCGTTTTCAGGTTTTGCGTAGGAATGCTGGAGAACCCCTCAACGAAAGAAAAAACAACGCATCTCAGGCATGTGCGAGCAGTACAGTCCCGCCCGTGCAAGTCCCGCCGGTGAGAGTACCAGCAGTGCAATATGGTCATGGAGGCACCTGGTCTGCTCGTCATGATTCTCGTTTCAGAGCTCGGATCCTAAACCACGGTCGCAGCAATTGCTTTTGCGATATGCATTGCCAACAGCATCACTTTGCACCACCACCACCACCACCACCACCACCACCTCTACTTGCTGCTACCGGCCGTGCACCTCTGTGTTCATCTTTACGACCCTCCTCCTTCTCCGCCTCCTTCTCCGCCTCCTCCTCCTCCTCCTCCTGCATACTTCACGCTTGCAACTGCTACAACACTATTGAATCACTATTACTGCTGCTACTGATTTGGCCACCCAATCTACCACGAGTAGGCAGTGTGCGGTCACCGCTACAAACTACTGCCGCTACCACTACTCGCTCCTCCTCGGTGGTGATGCTGGTAGTGCTAATGGGAGTGGTAGTGGTGATGGTGGTGGTGGTGGTGGTGGTGGCGGTGGTGTTGGTGGCGGTGGCGCGGTGGAGGTGGCAGTGCTGGTGCTGGTGCTGGTGCTGGTGCTGGTGGTGGTGGTGGTGGTGGTGGTGGTGGTGGTGGTGGTGGTGGTGGTGGTGGTTGTGGTGGTGGTGGTGCTCGTGCTCGTGCTGGTGCTGGTGCTGGTGCTGGTGCTGGGTGCTGGTGCTGGGTGCTGGTGGTGGTGGTTGGGGTTGTGGTGGTGGTGGTGGTTGGGGTGGCGGGGATGGATTATTGCTGCAGGAGCAAGTAGTTTCCTCGTGGGCGTCCTCGTCACTCGTCATCGTCGATATCTTCTTTGTCTTTGTTGTGAGTGTAGTCGTGGAAGTTTGTTCAGGCACAGTAGTGGCGTAGCAGCAGGAGGACGGGGGAGGAGGAGGAGCATGAGACGAGGAGAGCGAGGAGGTGGTGCAGATCAAGATGAGAGGAGGAGGATCAGTTGCAGCTGAGCATAGCATTGATACCAACAGTAGCTAATTTGCTATCCTGAGGCCCTCCCAACATCCATCACCCAGGAGTTCCCCAACCTCAGAGCCAAGGCTAAAGCCCGAGTCCTGAAACCAAGCTTGGAATGCACTGGCGAGGCTTTCGGTCCCTCGCGGTTCCTGGGACCAATGCGATGCACCGCTTCCAGCCCTCAGCTCTGGCACAACCTGTCGCCTATGTCCCCGTCGCTGTCGCTCGACCGGCGGCACAGGCGCAGCCTGCCATGGCAGGGATGCCCAGCGCCAGTGTCCGGGCCAGTTCGGCTGTCCGGCAGCTGCCACAGCCGCAGCTCCCCCAGCCCAGCCCGCATCATCCACGGGGAACCCTCTCCACATCCCCTCTCTCCGACCCCTTCCTCCCCACCCCGCACGCCAGGGGAACCATCTCCACATCCCCCGCCTCCGAAAACCCTTTCGTCCGAAACCTGGGCAGCCCCATCAAGGACTGCTTAAAGGAACCCTAAACCCTTAAAGGAACCCGACAGGAGCCCTCCCTTAAAGGATCCCTTAACGGAGCCCTAAACCTAAACCCTTAAAGGACTCCGTCTTCGGGGGGCTGGAGCAGCTTCGAGAACTCCCGTCCCCAGATGAGGCCACTGTCACACACCACCAGTCGCAGCAGTCATAACATGTTCCACAGGCAACCAATGCTGGTTCTAAATGCGCAGAGACTTTCGAGAGCAATTCACCCCTAACGGTCCTGCGGGACGGCGAGGGTCATACTGTTGTCAAGTGACACCATTGTCCATTGTCAATTTTTGAATGCTTTTGCGTTTGCGAGTCGGAGGATGATCCAGACGACCGCTCATCGACAGTTGCAGTGTGCCGACACTGAAGCATAGCAACTCCCCTAAACACTCAAAAATCTCCCCGCTCCGCGACTCGCTGAAAAGAGATCCCTAAATGTTCCACAGGCAACCAATGCTGGTTCGCCAGGAAGCGCCGCAAGCTCAGGATGGAGTCGCCTGGTTCTACATGCGCAGAGACTTTCGAGAGCAATTCACCCCTAAAGGTCCTTCGGGACGGCGAGGGTCATACTGTTGTCAAGTGACACCATTGTCCATTGTCAATTTTTGAATGCTTTTGCGTTTGCGAGTCGGAGGATGATCCAGACGACCGCTCATCGACAGTTGCAGTGTGCCGACACTGAAGCATGGCAACTCCCCTAAACACTCAAAAATCTCCCCGCTCCGCGACTCGCTGAAAAGAGATCCCTAAATGTTCCATAGGCAACGAATGCTGGTTCGCCAGGAAGCGCCGCAAGCTCAGGATGGATTCGCCTGGTTCTACATGCGCAGAGACTTTCGAGAGCAATTCACCCCTAAAGGTTGTGCGGGACGGCGAGGGTCATATTGTTGTCAAGTGACACCATTGTCCATTGTCAATTTTTGAATGCTTTTGCGTTTGCGAGTCGGAGGATGATCCAGACGACCGCTCATCGACAGTTGCAGTGTGCCGACACTGAAGCATGGCAACTCCCCTAAACACTCAAAAATCTCCCCTGCTCCGCGACTCGCTGAAAAGAGATCCCTAAATGTTCCACAGGCAACGAATGCTGGTTCGCCAGGAAGCGCCGCAAGCTCAGGATGGAGTCGCCTGGTTCTACATGCGCAGAGACTTTCGAGAGCAATTCACCCCTAAAGGTCCTTCGGGACGGCGAGGGTCATATTGTTGTCAAGTGACACCATTGTCCATTGTCAATTTTTGAATGCTTTTGCGTTTGCGAGTCGGAGGATGATCCAGACGACCGCTCATCGACAGTTGCAGTGTGCCGACACTGAAGCATGGCAACTCCCCTAAACACTCAAAAATCTCCCCGCTCCGCGACTCGCTGAAAAGAGATCCCTAAATGTTCCATAGGCAACGAATGCTGGTTCGCCAGGAAGCGCCGCAAGCTCAGGATGGATTCGCCTGGTTCTACATGCGCAGAGACTTTCGAGAGCAATTCACCCCTAAAGGTTGTGCGGGACGGCGAGGGTCATATTGTTGTCAAGTGACACCATTGTCCATTGTCAATTTTTGAATGCTTTTGCGTTTGCGAGTCGGAGGATGATCCAGACGACCGCTCATCGACAGTTGCAGTGTGCCGACACTGAAGCATAGCAACTCCCCTAAACACTCAAAAATCTCCCCGCTCCGCGACTCGCTGAAAAGAGATCCCTAAATGTTCCACAGGCAAGGAATGCTGGTTCGCCAGGAAGCGCCGCAAGCTCAGGATGGATTCGCCTGGTTCTACATGTGCAGAGACTTTCGAGAGCAATTCACCCCTAACGGTCCTGCGGGACGGCGAGGGTCATACTGTTGTCAAGTGACACCATTGTCCATTGTCAATTTCCCGCTCCGCGACTCGCTGAAAAGAGATCCCTAAATGTTCCACAGGCAACGAATGCTGGTTCGCCAGGAAGCGCCGCAAGCTCAGGATGGAGTCGCCTGGTTCTACATGCGCAGTGACTTTCGAGAGCAATTCACCCCTAAAGGTTGTGCGGGACGGCGAGGGTCATACTGTTGTCAAGTGACACCATTGTCCATTGTCAATTTTTGAATGCTTTCGCGTTTGCGAGTCGGAGGATGATCCAGACGACCGCTCATCGACACAGTTGCAGTGTGCCGACACTGAAGCATGGCAACTCCCCTAAACACTCAAAAATCTCCCCGCTCCGCGACTCGCTGAAAAGAGATCCTTAAATGTTCCACAGGAAACGAATGCTGGTTCGCCAGGAAGCGCCGCAAGCTCAGGATGGATTCGCCTGGTTCTACATGCGCAGAGACTTTCGAGAGCAATTCACCCCTAAAGGTTGTGCGGGACGGCGAGGGTCATATTGTTGTCAAGTGACACCATTGT